CTTCTATTAGAGTGCTGTAATACTTTTCTTAGAAAAACTCTGAGGCTGGTGAAAGAGTTAAGCAAAGCAGCCAGAAACCATTTTCAGCTTTTACTTTGCAGATACAACCTTTTAAGCATACCTACATTTACCTGCAATGGCAATCGTTTTGCATTTTAATGACAAATCAAGTACGCTAACTTGCATTTGAAACGAAAGTGCCTTAAATGTCTCTGGCTGTCAGAATGAGATGTTAGGAGCTTGATGAAAAGAGAACAAAGAAGACAAAGTATGAAGCMTAGATACAGTGCAAAATGAAATAAAACCTTGTATGGCCTGTCAGGGGTGTCAGTTGATATTCCTATCTAAAGCACATTATAGTATTACTTTGCAGCTCATAGCTTACTCATCTGTCTTTTTTAATTCATCACATTCTAGCCCACATCTTTTAAGTCCCATGTGTCAACAATGGAAGAAATCTGTTAATTGACAAATGAGTGTCACAAATGTGAATTGGTGCCTTTACATCAGAGGCAGGTAGTCTCTGTTGTTTTTTGTCGGCTCTATTATTGGCATAAGCCAGTGTAAGACATCTGTCTTTGCCAGAATGAGAGATGACAGCCAAAGAAGGGCTGTCATTGTTTTAGTGCATGTTCATTCTGCTGAGATACTGTATAAAGATAAAATGTCAGTTAAAAGAATATGAAAAACTATCGGGAGGAAGTCCTTAAATTACTTGGGAAGGAGATCCGGGAATTGGTGCCAGAATTGAAATCCGAACGTTCCAGTTTGCATCTATCACATCAATTTAAAAATAATACTTTCTGAGTAACTGGGTCAGTTTATAAGGCATTTAGGAAAATGTTATGTTGGGTTGCATAATTAGCTCATAAGATGGAAGGAAAAGCATACCTTCACAGGATATGAGTTTATTTATTACAAGTTCATTTTTCAGACACGTATAGAATTGTCTCAGTAAAAATGTGCTGTGTGGAATCTCTGGCGTTGATTTGCATCTGTTTTGAAATATTGAAATTGCTCTTTTCCAATTTCTTTTTCTGTTATATTTCTATTTTGGATTGATGAATAACATAATGAAATAAAAAGCACAGCCAGCTGTGAGTTGATGGGGCAATTAATAGGAAGAAAACTATTAGCATGGGTCTGGAGTGTCTAGAGGATGTGCAGTGTACAAAGTTACCCCCAAATCACTACATCTCTTTATTGCTATAAATGACTTTTAAATATCTGATAGCAAAAAGGAGAAGAGGAARAAATTAATGGAGGAGCTGGAAAAGTGAAATAAAGTAGAAATATAAATAAAAGAATTGAGAATTTTATACTTGGAATAAAAAGCCCTGAAAATGGCAGAGAAATGTGGATTTCTKGTAAGCTTATATATAATAATATAATGTGGTATAGGTGCTAGCAGTGCCTTCAGTGCAATGGCCAGGTGAGCAGCGACTTGGGCATCTAGGCCAAAGCCTTGCCTGCACTTCCAGGGTTTTAAGCTTGTGATAGAATCCAGTGAAGAAACAGATCTGGAATCATGGTATGAAATGGCATTGGCTGTGCTGACTTTCAAGATATATCTGAACAATGCTGATTTATAAAAAGGTTTCTTTTTATCTTACAATTTCCTGTAAGTCAATTCTATCTGAAGTAAAGCTATAAATAGAGTAGATTACAGGAATCCTTAATTTTCCTCAAATTTCTTAATTTTCACACTACCTCATAACAGAGGTAGAACCGTCACTCATAACTTTGTATGTCTCCTGTGTTTTTTCTTTGTTTGTCTTAAGCTTGCTTTCAGAAAATAGCTGAGCAGTTTAAAAAAAAAAGCCTAATTGTTGTTTCTTCCTTCCCTCTTCCCCGCATCTAATGTGGAGCGCTCTGATTTTGTTTGGCTTTGATAAATATGTTTATTTCCAAGGTGCCTCCTAGCTATTTTTCTGCAGTCTGTGGTTAATGCTGATTGTGGTGTTTGTTTTARTTTCTGAGACCAGTAACAAAGTTAAATACTTTTAATTGGTGCTAGTAATTTGATGGGCCTTTGGTGTCTCAGGATCTAAAAAGCCAGGACTAAATGATATCTAGCTTCCATTTATTTTGCCTCTTTGGATAGAAATATTGTGGCTTTGTGAGTAGACTTCCTTTAAAAATCCTCTGGAAGTCWTTTTGCTAGGTATCATTTTAAAAGACAATGCCACATTCATACAAAGGTATATATGTCTAAACTGAATACCTAAKATTACTTAGTAATAACTAATTATTAATTGTATATATATTTTATATAAATATAACTGTGCATATTAATTGAAAATGTATATTACTGTTCCAAAGTCTTATTCTATTCCCAACCTTAACTGGCTAAGTAGGTCTAAGTTCTTAACTGGTTTGAAGTAGTATTTTAGATTTGGTGGTGGTGTTTTCTGAAGTGCCAAGCATGCATTACCTCTCCAGGCACACTTTTTTGAGTTGCCTTTGAGAAATGAAAGGGCAACACTATTTCCATTTTACAGAGGGGAATAGGGAGAGGTGAGGAAGCTTGTTGATTACCCGTGGATGCCAAGTATCATTTTCAGCCCTTCATATCGACGTGCACAAACTACTGCGGCAGGTTGTCGGGAGGGAGGGTTGACACCTTTCCACCCGCTGAGTCTGTAGTGCTCTTAGAAGTGCTTTAGCCTCGTCTGCCACTTAGCTACACTTTATATTAGTTGATAGCAGATGTATCAGCAGGGCGATAGCAGAGCTGAGACTAAAAAGAGGTAAAAGTTGGAATGTACATGGAATGCCATGTAGACGTGGCAGGATGCTTTTTGACTTCAAGGATTTTCTAATATCTGTTCCTTCTTGAGCTGATCAGTGATATATAAAAATAATAAGAAGAATGATATGGGGTGAAATTATTTTTGTTCTTGGTGTTTTGTTTCATTTCTTTGTAATTTGGGAAAGGAAGAGATAATCGGTCAGGATAACTGAGAAGAACGGATTTCATCTCTAAAATGAATGAATAAACTTCTCTATGCAAATTCACCTGTGGGAGATAAAATTGTAGCTAGTTWAGATACCATCCTGCTCTGTACTTAGTGCCTATTATAAGATGTGAAATAAAACCCTCAAAAAAAAACTACTTGTAGAATGTATCTGTGAGAGCGTGCATTCATTTGACATTGACAATATTGCCAATGTTAAATTAATCCTAGAAAAGGCAGATACTAGAATTTAAATATAATAGTGCTATGTGTGTGTGTGTGCGCGTAGCCTCTTGGCGGTTCCTTGCCTGCCGCCCCTGCCTCCCAAGTGCCAGCTGTCACACCGAGTCTGAAGCAGACAGAAATTTATTGGGTAGTATTTAGAAACATGTCAGTGGTAACGACTGGATCTCTGATTTCAATTATCACCTACTAAATTTAGGCGAATGTAATGCATTTGTAGACCTGTTGAATGCACTTGACATCATGTTTAAAATATTTGAAACTGCACTGTTTTTTAATATCATGTGTTGACCACTTTCTTTTTCCCTCCTCACATCTGGTGCATGGCAGCAGGCCTCCCATGTGACCCATAAAAGCGTCAGTTGTGCTAGTTTAAGGGGTTCACTTTTTGATTTTTTTCTTCAGATGATACTTCAGTTAGGAGAGCAAAGTAGTCTGAAGTTACAACACAAAAATTTGCTTAATGAAGTGTTACTCTAAGATCTGTAATTCTCCTATATTTTTCCTTTGTAACCAGTGTATAATCAGCATGAGCAATTTCATTCCTATTGTTTAGTCTTACCTTGTGGCAGAAAATCCATGGGATTTGGGTGACTCGATCACTCGAGAGCTCTTGAAACTGTTTAAAAACTGGTATAGTCACTATTATTCTGTGGAATGATTGGGTCGTGTTTAAGCAGTAAGCTCTGATTTTTCCTATCTCTGCTGTTATATAAGCCAAGATTAAAGTTCAGACCCAAAAATATTTTGGAACTGAGAACATTGTGTGTCACAGTTCATGGGTTCTGCTTTACTTTCTCTGTGAACTCTTTATGCTATTATTTTAGAGAGATTGAGGGCCATCTTTTAAAAAAATGTTTACCTTCCCAGGTATGGGTAACCTTTAAAACCAGCTTTTATATCTTTCATTCATAGATTCCTTCTCTACTTGTCATTCTCATATATTTGTTCATTTATTAGATGCAGATATTTGCGACTTCAGGATTGTCTTCAAACTGCAAACCCTGAGGACGTCTGCTTGGTAGCACTGAAGTACTTGGAAGTACTAAACATTACAGGTTTTAGTTTGTCTCTCACCATTTTTGTGAAAGTGCTAATAGTTAACGTCCATATCTGGGTATAAATAATGTAAGAAAATAAATACTCTTCAAGAATTTTTAGGCCTGTCTTGTGTAGACAAGCATGGGGAGAATTTGGAAGAATACATACCTACCTTATTTAAAGCATGACCTCGACTTACTTATACTAATTTTGCTTTCCTATAGTTTGTCTTGTCATAGGGTTTGTTTTCCATTGGTACTCTCCTATAGTAGTTAGTAACTTCTTTTTTTTTGTTTTTTTCTTTGTATTTTCCTGCCAGATGCTTTCATACATCTTCCAACTGACATCCTTAGAGATCTCAGAAGTATTGTAAACTGAAATAGCTATCAATGAACAGTGAGCACCTTATTCATTTCTGAAATGCAAGGCAGAACTGAAGCTTTTCAACAGGATTTCAGAAGCTTCAGGGTTTGTAGGGAAGGGAATAAGATGGAATTTCAGTAGAGTTGGGTGTAGGTCTTTTGGTGAAACTAGTAAGGATGTACAAAGTCTTACTATTTGTCATTTTAAAAACTGCTTTTACCCTGCTTTCTCTCAGGGTGAATTCCAGACACAGTTTCTTCTGATATCTGTTTTCTGGGATTTTTTTTTTTGAGTGGAAATTGTCTTATTCCTGAAAAATTCTACAGATCAAACATTTGGATGTGGATGGCACCCGATAATTGCAAAGGGATCTACGCTACAATTTTATAATAGAAACTATCCTAGAAAAGCAGCCAAATTTCCTATTCTGAGTTGGGTCTAAACCGCATAATTGATCACAATGAATCACAGACAATTTCTGCATAGCTTTATTATATCTAAGTAGGCCATATTTGTCGTCTTTTCATAGAGATGAAGATTTTTTAAATAGAAACATTAACACAAAGATTGTTTCTTTCCTTGAATCTTTGAAGAATGAAATCTAAGACCTGAGAAGCCTTCAAAATACAATATTCAATCATAAATTAAATGCAAACTGAATTTTAAGTAGCTTGTGAAACTTTATTTACTCTATTACATGCATTTTTTTATGACTTGGGATGTCCTGGTAAGTGGATCTCTTTCTGTGTCATCAGTTCTAAAAGGTTTATTGTCTCTTCAGTAATGCTGAGATTTTGGAAAACAGTGCACAGTAGGTATTTAACTTGTCCYCTTTGGTATGTTCTAATCACAGTGAGCTGGCTTGCAACTCTAGGGAACTCCTCTGGTGCTGCATTTTGCTAACGTTGTTGATTGCTGTGTACTTGGTCCTTCTCAAAGCACTGCTGTTCAACCTGACCTCCACCTTGGATGACCCAGCTTGTAGCAGCTTTGCTGGCTCCCATCTTATTCCCACAAATTAGTCTCTTCTGTGTGACTGCAAAAAATGTTCCCTCCATTTTCAGGTGTCCTCTCTCACTTAATAGTGTGGTGCCTGCCAACCATCTGTTTGTACAACACCTAACTTTTCTTGAGATGGGTAGGATGCTCTTCTCCTTCAGTAAGTCACTGTGGAAGTTCTGCATTACTCTGTTTACTCTGAGTCCCTTCTAGGTGGTACATCTGTTGTCCTGCCTGGAGGAAAAATATACACATACTTGAAGGCTAAAGAGGGATTTTTGTTGGTTTATTTAATTATTGGTATGTTGCTGCCTGCTGCTTGTTAAAGCTGATAGGTCTGATACAAAGAAAGTGCATGATACAGGCATGAACCATGATCTACCTAGGCACAGGAGTTTTTATATTTTATAAGCAGACAGATAATATTTATTTTCTCTCTTTCTGTAGACAAGGAAGGCAAATACTGTGGTTTTGGTATGGTTTGCCTGGTAAGTCCCAACAATAATAAAGGTCTCAGTTTATTAAACTTAGGCCTTTTGTTAAGGGCTTTGCCAAATTTTTTCTGTTAATTCCCACAAATGCTTCATCAGTCATCACAGTCTGGTAAAATGTTTTCTGTGTAATAATCAAAGAGATTGTTGTGGAGAGCTCTAATCGGAATAAAGAGCAGTTTATACCTCGTGGAAAAGTAGTACTTGGTTGATTAATAAGAAGCAGAAAGCACTGCACATTTTCATGAAAGCCAAAAAGAAGTAACAAAAAAAAAGGAAGTGTGAATGATCATTTGTCATGCTAATATATGGTTTACTTTCAATTCATGACTTCTGTCATACAAAGCCTTCCTTCTAATGAATGTTCTGAATGTCTTTCTGCCATMGATTAGACTGATCCTTGTCTTTGATTTGAACAACTGTACATTTAGTCCACCTGACAGGAAATAAGGTAACAGCAACCAAATAAGCTCGTGTTTGGAAAGAACAGAGAAGAAACTTCTGTATTGCTRTTAGCTTTGTGGGGTTTACAATGCTTTGTGAAGATTTGTTGGAAATTTGTCRTTGTATGTATGCTGTGGGAGGCTGGGGATGGGGGTATGAGAGGGAACAAAAGGGCCCTTTTCTACCAAAGCTGGAAGATAGTTTTGGCTCTTCATTTTTCTCCTCCTTCAAAGAAGTCCAAGAAAACTGCTGACACTTATAGAAGAGGAAAATATGATTTATGGTGACATCATGTGTTACTCAAGCAAATGTGTTTTGAGGAAGATCATTTTTTATGATGTTTTGTAATAAAGAAATAGTGAATCATTCTTGAAGGAGTGCTGGTTCAGATTCTTCTCCCTTCTATCCCCTGCCCTGCTCTCTTCTCTCTCCTTTACCTGAGGCTTTGAGGGGTCTTAATATTAATGTTACCTACAAAAGAAGATTGTTAAACAAATAATCTGCAATCCTTGCATCTAGTTGCTTTATGTGGGTTGAAGTTATGCAAGGGTAATCTCTGCCATGTGGCTGGAGGCCATACCCAGCTGCTGCTGAATAGAGCTGGTGCTGATTTACTGACTACACAATATTTCACTGCAGCCTTTATTTGCAGGTAGAAAGTGTCCCTTGCAGAAATAATGTAGCAAACCTCATCTACCAAAGGAAGTTTTTTTGTTTGTTTGTTTTTCCAAATAGTGTACCACTTATGGGGGAGGTGGCATGACTTATATAAGTTATACTGACCTTTAGATACCATTGTCTATCAAATGCTGTGAATAAGACCAGTTCCACTATTTATTTAGAGGATGATGTTGTCATCAGCATATGATAAGGCAAAGGAATATAATACAAATATTCCTACRTTAGATTGGCTAAAAGGAAGAATATTCAGTAAAGCTAGTTAGCAGACACGGTGCTAAGGAATAAGACTAAAAATGGGATGATGTTGGCGATGTCAATGGCAAGAAAACTGATATATGCATGTAACTTTTAGACATGTCACTGGATAAAAATTCTCTTATCAATATCCCTGACCAAGTTGAAGAGTCTGTCAGCTGCTGGAGTGAGAGCGATTCCAGGAGTTTTTTGGCACTATGAAAACTTAGGAAGAAGATGCAGCTGCCTCCAYGAAAGCGAGATCTGGAGTCCTCAGGTAAGTTGAGGTAGGCCCAGCTTACAGAGCTGTGAAGACCAAATCCTTGCAAACTTTCAAAAATCCTGTAACTTATTCAACCAGGGACCTGTATAAAGACTATGATGAGGCTGTTAAGGCTTGTTTCACCATCGATGGAAAGCACGTACCAGCACAGCATACTATAGTTTGTCCATACCGTRGTATAGCCTGTCATGGCACAGGAGTGCAGTGTTGGAGATACCCTTCATCACACCTGRAATGACAACTCTTTTTCTACTGTGATTAAATGACAGGCATASGGCACTTAAGTGCTTAATTGTTTTGTAGTACAAGAATGGATTTATTGTCCTTGTGCTCTGCTGAGGCAAGATCTTGGTGGACTCCAGTGCACATGTTTTGTGGTATTAACTCTGTGCCTATGTGCTTTCTTTCTGTTAGTAGTGATAAAGTCACAAAGCAATTACTGCTCGTACATACTCTAATAACCTTTGTCATTTGTCAGTGTGCATTAAGTCCTTGCAGATTTTCCCAGACAAGCTAGTGGTCTTCATGAACAAATGCTCTCATCTGCCAGCTCTTCTGACTTGCCACATTGCAGATGGTTCAGAGGGGAGCTCACCTTAGAATAAAGACAGATTTATACAGCTCCTATTGGAACAAAAACTTTTTAAGCAGCAATGTAATCTGGGGAGTGCACATCTGAACTGTCTCTGCCTTCCAGTGCTGCGAGGCCTATGTTTTAAGTTTTTGAATTGCCTTTGGATGYGAAAGTAACTCCTTTTAAACTCAGAAATGTGTAAGGCTGTACATGTGCTAAATTGTGGTATGCATACCTTAATCATGTATTTATGGTACTACATCTTTGTGTGTATTTAGGGCTTCAGACACTGCTGGATGTACCACAGAGATGTAACTCAGTATGACTCTGTCTTTCTTAAATTAGTGTTACAGGTCCAAGCAGCTGAAGTGTATTTATTCCTCCTGGTAATTTGCCAACAGAAAGTGCATAGTTCGGGTTGGTATGTTCTTGGGCTATGTGCTATGAAGGAGTTATATAGGTGAAGAAAAGAGATTGGAGAGAGAAGCTACCTATAGAACCATTTAGTATTTTGTGAACTGCCTAGTGTTAAAGATGTATTTTGGGCTACATACAATACTGTATTATAAATGTGACAATTTGTTGTATTTGTGCTGCTGTTAAGTGTACACATCTCCCTTTGGTCATGATACATCTATGTGCTGAAGGTGCTATCTGATGCTAAAGGAACATATTGCGTTTCTGTTTCAGGGATGGCCTTCTCCTTGGTTAGACTGTGCTGAAGCCTGTTGGATCATTTTGCTTTGTGAATATGTATACTCCAGTATTCAGTTCTTGGATATACATGGAGATAGATTAATTATATAGAAGGCCAGTAAAATAAATGTTCCATGCTGACCTCTGACTCCAGCTAGAGTATAACAGTATATACAGTTTGCAAAAAAAAGTAGCCATTTTTTTTCCCAAATATTCAAATATCTTTTTAGACATTGTTACTATTCAGAAAAGAAAGCTTTAACATAATTTGCATGTATACTTCTAGCTGTTCTGATGTAGACTGACGGCTATGTACATCATTAATGAACAGTATAATTCATGAGGAATACATTTAAATTAGCAGATAGGCAATTATTACAAAGAATTATTGACTCTGACAGTCTCTTATATTGTAGTCTGTGATACCTTATTTGAAGCAATCATTATTCCTTTTTTAATTGCTTATCACACCTGTGAGTGTTACTTGGTTATTATAACAAACTAGGCAAATCATCTGGTTGGGAGATTTAACTGTTGTGTTGATGCTTTTTCTAATGCATCATTGCTCTTTGTCTTGCTTCCTTGAGCTTGCACATATATGTGTTTCTGCAGGAATTCTGCCTGATCTCTGAGCTGTCTCAGTATTATGCACATGGCTTTTATTTTTATTTTACAAATATCCAACTGGCATCTGAGGAGAAGTATTTTCTTGATGGATTAGAAGGGTTCAAGGCTCTTGAAGTTTTCACATCCTGTGAAAAAGACAGGTCAATTTTTTAACTCTGGGCATCTGTCTCTTATAAGATCATAAATTGCTCTTGAAGCTAGATAGAAAAAATACTGAAGGCAACATCATATTTAAGAGTTTAAATGTGCTGATTKGAGTGTCTGAGAGTCTAACCTCAGGCAAAAGGTCTCCAGTTCAGTCTTCTTGACTGATGTGGAGTGGTTCACTGTTAATAATTTAGTTTTGAGACCTACTAAATGAAAAATAGGAGACTCATGGCATCAGCATCATTGTCCATCTTTTCTAGAAAATATGAACTCATTGTACTTTGATATATGTACCTATTCTTTGGATGCTTAAATACTCTATTGTAGCCATTGTATCTGTTTTCTCTTTTTTCTGTTTTTTTTTTTTCCTTCTTATGATTGGTGATTTCATGGTTTGTCCCATGTGTCACATGGAACGCATGGTTTGTTCTGCAGGATCTTATTTTCATTTGTGGTCTCCTCTATTTGTGTATTAAATGAAAGCTGGCAAAGTCTCTGTCATTAATCCTTTCTTGTGTGCTGCTTCTGACCGTGTTTGGGAGTGATCGGCTAAATAATATGCGCTCAGCTTCAATATGAAGCAAAATGGGGCCAGAATAATTTCACATTTTCAGCTGACCTGAAACGTGTTGAATTCAATTTCTAAAGAACCACAGAGCGTCAAGATACTTGCTTTTATCACAGAAATATTTTCTGACCCCTACTTCCATGTGTAACAGTTGTGTAATTAAAAGTACATACTATGCTGTGCTAACAGATCAAAAATAAGAGGAYGTCTGTGGCGGTGATTTACGGTGTCTATTACTGATTGCAGTGTCAGTAGCTCAACTCTGCCCTTTGCATGGGCTTTCTCACTTTCCTTCAGACTCCCTTTTTCCCAACCTTGGCGTGAGTATGGGATTTCTGAATGCTGTGGGAATGGTTACCCATCCTTCTCATAACAAAGCATTTGAAGGAGCTGTGGTATAACTACTATTTAACCTTGAGCCCGAGTCTCTTCTACGGCTTCRTGCAAATGTTTTTGTTTTCTTTCTAGAGACTTTAAGGGCCAACCTTGACGGCTAATTCCCATCTCTCCCATATTTTTTTCCTTTTCAGTCTTAAAATAATTGTTAATTGGCTTATTCACATCTAAACTACCAAAATCCTCTCCTCCTCTCTCCCTTATAATCTGAAAGTCGATTATTCAAATTCATGAATTAGAAAATATGGACACTGAATACATTACATCCTGTTTTGCCATACTCTTGCCTTTGCAAAATAGAGATTGAAATACTAAACCACACAGAATGCTAAAGCTTAATGCATGTTAGTAAATCACTGAGGATTGCCAAAGAGGCTACAGAAATGCATTGTTAATGTTATCTGAATTATGTCACTGTTTGTTCAAAAAAACAGAATCATAATTCTTGCCTCTGCTAGATTTATGCTTTAGCACATTGTTTTCTGGCTGTGATGATTTTACAAAAGGGTAAGGTTGTTAGGAGTTTGCATTGGGTGGCATTGGTAGCATTTTATTATTATTCAAAGATATAAATGCTTATAGTAGAATAATTACAAAGTATGAGATGTACTTGCTATGTAGGGTTAATATCTCTTCCCTTCTTCCACAAGTAAATTGCAAATTAACACTAATAAATCACATTGTGGTGGTTGGTGGGAAGTAGAAGTATGTTAATAATTAAATAGTTCATTTCAGCTACCTCCCCCCRTTTTTATGTGATGATTTTCTAGACTTAAAATCGGCGTGTCTCATGCAGGCTACCTATAATATATAGTTGTTTCAAATCAGCTTTACTTACTGAGCTTTTTCTAGTAATGGAGCTCTGTCAGCAAAAAGCATATGCACTAGCAAATGATGAACGATGGACTTGTGTCAAATGGATGCTTGAAAGGTGCTTCTGTTGTTAGATGGATTAGTCTGAACCAGGAGTTCAAAACTCCTCAAGTGTAATTGTTTCAGAGAAAAGGTATCCCTGGATTGATAGTGGAGGGTAAGCACTGAGAGTTGAAGGAGGAGGTACTTTATCAGATGAAAATGTTGCCTTGCTAATCCAGAAGAAAGATAGGTTTTGTTGTCATGAGATTGCTTGCTTGGTATTTCTGTGAGGGTTTTTTTTTTTTTTTTTTTGTAATGTGAAAGTTTTCATTTTGTGCTAGAAGAACATACTGATGTTTTGGGATTTTTGTTATTAAAAAAAAACAAGCTAAAATACAGCTATATGGGAATAATTCATTTTGAAGTTTTTTTTTATATACTTTCTAAAACATTGGCTCTTGTTTCGGTAGTCATCATGTTAGCTAGGAAAATTCTGCAATAGAAATTTTATCAGTTACAGGTTGATTAAGACAATTATCTAAATCCTTATCTATAAGTATTTTAATACATGATATTATGAAAATTGTGTGACTWTATAAATTGTAGTGTTACATATAAATAGTAACTGAATTTCCTTGTTAAGCAATTTTTGCATGTTGCTTCTGTACAAATGACATTGGGAAGGAAAAAAATGAYGGGAAGAAATTTGCATTAGGAATTAAGCTTTAGAAATAATTTTCCTGCTATGTGTATCTGCTTTTATTTCATTTATTCTATTTATTTTTTTATATGTTGTCTTGGCTGTGCTCTAAATGGATGTGCATAAGGGACTTCTACAAAAGAATAACTATAAGCAGGGAGGCTTTTACTGCTTCTCACTCCTTCCGTTGTGCCAGTTTTTCCTTCTCTTTTGCTTCTTTGCARTTGTTAGCCTTCATGTGAACTGAAAGCTACTTCAAAACACTGGAAGAAAAATACTCTGAAAGCTTCATACGCGTTTACTTCATAGTAGAGAGAAGTGAAGAAGCTGAAGACTTTTTCCACTGACAGGTGTTT